GGTTGTCAAACAGAGATATTCAGATAACTATACTCAATGTGTTCAATTTGAATTTGTAATTTTAGACAAAATTGTAACTTTTTATCATGTTTTCCCATTTAAATTGCTTCAGAATTTGATCCCATGCATCCCTATTGAAAAGCGATAGATGTACAAACAAAACATCAAAGATAATAGTTCATGTATGTTACATGAACTTTAACTTGGAATTGGAATTGGATTTTGATGCATCAGGTTATCATCATGTTCCATTGACCGTAAACATAAAAATAATATTGCTCTTTCATCATTCAATAGAAATTCTAACTACCATTCAAATAAAATATCATGATGCGATCTGAATATTATCCATCGTTGGTAATACAGCAATGAGACAATTTGATTGTTATTTTAACTTTTGCACTTGGAATCAAATTACATACGTTGACAGGCAAGTTATAAACTGAACTGGATCAAATCCCATGTCTGATCATCTTCCATGGTTAAAATCACGATTCATATTTCAAGAAAAACTTTGATTCAATATTCAGATAAAAAGATAGTAAATCAAATTGGAATAAGAAATTCAAATGAGAAAAAAGTTTCATCTTTTTTTAGCTCATGAAATCTTGGCTCATCAATTTAACTCCTTTTGAAACTTGTAATTTATAAATCAATCAATCACCTCATCATAATGTTGAAACTGTAATCACAGTCAATATTTAGTGTCATTGATTGTCACCTATCAATTTAATAACCAATTTACCTGGAAGGCTTTTTCTATCACTGAAACTCAATCATCGAATTGCTGAAATAACTCATGACAAAGTCTCGTGGTGATTGAGTATCAAGGTAACAGGGATAATGTGTCCTGAATGAAAACGCAAATTAAGGCCAAATTTTCCGTCGGAAGTGCGTTTTACGCGAACGGTGAAAGTTCAAACGAAGAAATAATTTCATATTCAGTGTTTTCTTTTGGATCAGCAATCGTACTTTGTATGGAGGCCATTTCTCTAGCAAAACGGATCATCAACTGTAAGATTAATCGTTTTAACTTGAGTTGTACTACTGTTGATTGTTTATAATTAAATGGTAGTAATTAGTATCATGGAAATGTTTCATTCTGTTTGCATTTCTTTGATTGTTAACTTTTAGTTTTCTACGATGAATTTTAATGAGATTTTGATACTCAATTGTTTGAATTAATTTATTTACATTTAGTATCACAATTATTTTTATCAACATGACTGATGAATGAATCCAAGCCTAACAATTAAATACTAATTGTTATTTTAATTGTAACTGAGACAACTAAAAGTGGAAAATTCTTTGAATTGTCTTGTATAATGATTACTTTTAATTCAGTTCTTCATTCATTTTCATTACGTTCAAAAACGTTACGATTTGTTGATTTCATTCGTTAATCATGTCGATTATCTTCAATTTAGATGATCAATGGCTGATTATCATGTAATCATCAAGGTGAATAATGATGAAAAAGGTATTTCTTCATGAGAAGAATAATTTATTTGCAAATTCTTTCTCGAATTAACTTTAGAAACATTTACTTTTCAAAGTGTTTCTGTTTCCATAGGTGTAAACAAATTTAACTCAGTTAAATTGTCTATTTGTTTAGCTTAACTGTTGTAAATCGTAAAGTATTATTCAGATAATAATAAATTTCAATCAAATTTAGAATCTGGACAATCAGTAAATTGCAATCAATAATTTAGATGCGACCTCTTTATCCCTCAATTTAAATTGAAAAATATTGCTTATTTTCACTGGTCATTCATATAAAACATTCATGATTCCCTTTGCTGTTAAGTAAATTACTCGCTCAGACAATCAGATAATCATGATGCATGATTTTGATCATTTCATTGATCAAGAGGTAACAGAACTGAGAGAAATCAGATATCTGAATAATGCCCATGTAAAGTTCTGAGTTCAGCTCTTGACAAACTAAAAATGTCACATCAATTGTGCTCATACAAGTACTAATCTGTCAAATTGACAATTATACACTCGATATTGTCAAGATAACTCTGACAATTAAAACAAATTGTTTAACTAGAATTAAATTTAACCAACTAGTTAAAAAAGCTTCTTTTCTCGATCTCTAATATCATTTACAATTCCGAGTTTCCAACTAATAATAATAACCTAATAATATGTACTAATGCTGAATCAAGAATTGTCTCTAAATTAGAACAGATAAAATTAATATTAATCGATGGCTACTTTTCTACGTTGATTCGAGTTTTCGTTACAATTAAATAATTTATTTCGGTAGATTGTTAATCGTCTTTCGAGTTAGAAACAAACTTTATACAACCTCAACAGTCTCGAACTTTTTTTCCTACAGCTCTTCAATTCTGAACTTCTCACTTATTAAGTATTCGACTTTTTTTTGGATAAAATGGTTCACGATTCATGAAGACAAACGATTAAATGAAATACAATCATTTTCTGTAATTTTAATCAATCATGCAATCAAATTTGTCTGACAATTTATTCTGAATTTGTGCTAAGTTGATCAGGTATGCAAATTGTTTTCTCGTTGGTGTCAATCAAATGTGATTTTTTTCAATCTCGATTTTAATAATCAATTAGTATGACAATAGACTAAAAATTAGAGTACATATTAGACTCACTAGACTATCATTAATTCAGCCAGTTAATCATTTGAAAAAAGTATTTTCTGCGAGATGATTAAGCAAACAATTTATATGAATAGCTGAGTCTCTTTATTCATTTCTCATATTAAACCCTCAGGCAATATTCAGATTTACATGTTATCACTTTACACTAATGTATAATCACCATAATAATCATCAGTGAATATGGACTGAAATGAAAATGCCGAGAAATAATCAGTTTCCATTGGAAATCAGTTTCCACCATAGTTACCTTGATTCACTTTCATTGTATTAAATATCATTATCTTATCAAATATTATATATCATCAACTGAGTAAGTTATTCAATTCAGTAAATTTGCAGACATCATCATGATTTTCAGTAGCAATTCATGTAACTCCATTACTGTATTAGAATATTAAAAGTTAACTTCAACTCTACATTCCCATGAAATAAATCATTACATTCAGATATTATTATCATGTTAACCATCATCATGATTATTATTATGTCGGAATGTATATCAATCCATTTAATGATGTTCTCAAAATTGAATTGGATTAACTTAATGGTCGATTCATTCATGGTTATGATTATATATATATTTAAGTGGGGATGAGAATTGAACAGAATGTTCCTTGTAAATCCTGAATTTCCTAATGAACTTTACCAGAATAGTTTTTCAATCTTTCCACTTGAATAGAAACTCATTATTTATATTTGAAACAACTCTCACCACCTACAGGGAGTTGAATTTATATGAATATTTTCATGATTAAAATGTTGTTTATCATTTTTATACCTCATGATTATCCTTTTTTTTCAGTAGGTAAAACATTTTAAACCAATTAAATACAAACATTAACATGGTTAAACTGACAGAGATAAAAATAGTTAATCATTCCCAGTGGGTGACGATTCATAATCAAACAGTAATATCGTTTGCATGATTATTATCACCATGAAATCCATACACAGATAATAAAAGCCATTAGATAAAAATTAAAGACACCAATTGATTGTGATATTACTAAATCATTTGACAGAATTGAATATCCATCATGATCAATTGGTGATCTATGGATGATGGTGATTAGTTTAATCCGAGGGATCAACTATTAATATTATCTGAAAGGTTGAATAAAAGTATCAGATTAAAAATCTCATTGAGATTTTCCATCAATTGCAACAATTTAAAGCTCGTTAACGATCAATTATCAATCAATCAATGAGATAATCTTAATGATAATCAGAAAACAACATTCGGTAAGATTGGAATGAAACAGTTAATGACATTTGATTATTTCTTTTTCTTGTCACAACCCATTTATATCTTTTTTTAAACTTTAATCTTAATCTTAATCTTAATCTTTTATATGGTCACTATTCCCTCATAATTATTGCTTTCGGCTATTTAGATTATCTCATGTACTTCCTACTCTTTATTCAGTTAATTGGTTTTGACTCTGATAGAAATGTCACCAATCTGATTTACTTAGAAAAAGATGAGATTAACAGAAAAGATTGTGTTTGATCAATAAGATAGTAGCTGATAATCATCATGATCATTTGAATCGTTTCATTGAGCTACTACATGGATAATTTATCAGAAAAAGAATGAAAAAAAACCCGGAAAAGTAAAGAATCATCAACGTTTACATTTGATAATATTAATAGAAACTCAGATATTACATTGGATTAAATGAAAAAGAATTTGAAAAAAAAAGAAATACAATAAAAGATGATTTTCTTGTTATTCTCATGAATAAATAAATTGCTCTTTTAATGAACATTGAGATTTCTTTGTATAAGTTTATGGTCAAGGTGAAGGTCAAGTCTTTATTCATCTTCATCTCTCTCTCTCTCTCTCTCTCTCTCTCTCTCTCTCTCTCTTGTTACCTTATCATCATCATCTTCTTAATCCACACTCAGTCCAACCCCCTCCCGATCTGTGGATCAATCAAGTACCAGGTATGAAGAGACCGGTCTTGGCCCGTCTTCTTATTGACCTTAACTGCCCAGAGGTTTTAAAGAAACCAAATACCTCAATGATTACATGTGGTCAATAGTTTTCATTCCCAATGGTTGAGCTTCAGTAAATTTTAATAGTCAATTTAATCACCATTGTGTGATTAGAGTAAATTTATCTCATTTTCATGGGTAATTAGCTGATTGCTATGAATTGGAAACACAATAGTTAACCAAGAACTGAATAACCAAAGTTTCACTTAAAACTGAATTTCTCATGCACCACAAATGAAAATGATACACTTTTTGAATTAATAACACAAATTAACCAACAATTATCAGTTAATTGTCATTCAATTAAGTTTGCGTATGAATTGGTAAAAAAAATTAACTACAGAGATCATCTTGATATTGTTATGTTGTTAAACATGTTGGTTTTTATTGAAATTGAATTGATAATGAAAGTGAGTTGAGTTGATTAGGTGAAAATTGTAATAATTTAATCAAACGATGACCCGTTATTATACATCCTGTGCAAGTAAATTATTACCTGAGGTGGGTTAAGGTGGGTTAAGGTGGGTGATTGTGATGATTGATTAACCACTGAACGGTCTGGCAGTGGTTGATGAAACCAAAGTTGATCTCATTCGGTTCATGAGGTTGGTAATGTCGGTTGTGATTCGGTTAACTCGAACTCTGTGAATTTTGAAAGGAAACAAAGTTTTATTAGTTTGTTGTTGACTTAAATTGTTGATCACAATCAATCAGTTTATTTACCTTAAACTTTCAAAGAAAGCGTTGCTTGGATAGCCAGCAGTTCCTGAGCCATCGTCAGCGGGTGGGGCAGAAGCTGAAGATGCAACAGCTTGAAGGGCTCGAAGTCGATTCTGAAGACGTTGTAAATTGTTTTGTACTCCTCGTAAATAGGATCTCATTGATCGCATCATAGCGGCGGTCATGTATCGTCGATTGGCCATCAAATCTTCAATTGATTGCTATTGATTAGATTAGAGGTGGAAAATGGTTAGAAATGAGGAGAAAAGTGATTTAAATGGTCAAGACTTACATCAAGATTGTGAATGGTCATTTCGATTTGATCAACCATACCAGCAATTTGCTCATTTTGACGGGCATCAGTTGAACTGGGCTCAATAGCGGGCTCTTCTGAACCAGCTCCATAAGAAAGTGGACTCAAAGTGGATGCAGCATCATCTTTCAAGTCAGTATTGAGATAACCTTTTATCTGTTGTTCAAGGTCAACAAGTAATTTGGTTGCCTGGTTGATTGGCTCAGCAAGATAAGCTGAAATATCTGAGCTGGAGGATGAAGCAGAGGCAGCAGTTGCTTCAGGCTTAACCTCATCAGCTTTGACAGGAACAACCTTGATGGTTGGTGCAGCGAGAGCAACAGCTACAGGAACAGAATCAGCAACTGGAGCCACTTGGGGTGAATTCTTGGCAACTGAATCCTCTGAAACTCCTGCTGAGTATTGAGATGGAGCTTCAGTTTGAACTTCAGCAACTGATGGCGATGCAACTGGAACCTCAGCAACTTTTTCTGAACTTTCCACTTTCTGAACTTTTTGTACAGTTGAAGATTTACCTTCATCTGATTTACCTTTTTTTACTTTCTTTTCGGGAACTGAATCAGAGATAATTGTTGACACAGTGGCGAGTTTGTCAACTGAAATTTCATCCTGATTAGAGACCACTGGTGATTTTGATTTATCAGCCACTGGCGAGATCTCATCTAAGCCAACTGATGAAACTGGAGCAGCAACTAAATCATTGACAACCGAATTACCTTCAACTCCATCAACTGATGGAACGACAGTTTCTGATTTAGATCCATAGAAAAGGATTGATTCAGTTGATCCACTTGATTTTGATTCAACTGATTCAACAACAGGTCCAGCAACAGGTAAACCATTACCTTAATTGTAATAAGAGAGAAAAAAATTAATCGAATAACCAAAAAAAAACAGTCACCAATTAATTGTAGAAAATTATGTTCAATTAAATATTCCATGTTAATTTCAATTCTAATAAAAGTTGAATCAGTAATCAAGTGACTTATCAATCAACTTGATTCCAGGATTAGATGAAATTATTAATGAATGAATAAAAATCTTACCGATTACAAAAAGAGAAACAATAAAGATTGAGATGATTAATCCTTTCATTTTGATTGAGTTAATTATTGTAACAACACTTTCGCTGATCACAATTGGAAAAAAAATGTTCCCGTTTCAATTGAGCACAATTAAAGTTTTTCAAGTTAACTGATCCCAGAGTGAAGTTTAAATGTAAATGACTTTCACTGGAGTATTTGGTTTCTTTATAACCTGTGGTGGGCAGTTAAGGTCAATAAGAAGACGGGCCAAGACCGGTCTCTTCTTACCTGGTACTTGGTGGATCCACAGATCGGGAGGGTTGGACTGAGTGTGGATTAAGAAGATGATGATGAGATAATAGAAAGAAGAGAGAAAGGGAGGTAAAGAGAGAGAGATGATTAAAGATCAGAGATGAAGATGAAGATGGAGAATTAGAAAAATACTTACCTTTACTTTCCCCTTGATTCTTGCAAAGAAAATCAATAATCCGGTTGTTTGAGATCATTGGAATGGCCACAAAAGGGCAATACATTTATTCATAAGATTAACAAGAAAAACATCATTTATTATCTTCCTTTTTTATTTCTTTTCGGAACTTTTATCAATCTTCATCTTCATATTTCATTTGATTCTTTTTGATTTTTCCGGGTTCCATTATCATCTTTTTCTAATAAAATTATTCCAATTCTAATGATTGATTCAAATAATCATCAAGATAAATTCTCGGTGAGTCTCTTGTTCATTTAATTAACAGATCTGTTAATCTAAACTTTTTCTAAAGATTGGTGACATTTCTATCAAAGTCAAAGCAATTAATATGAAGGAAAGTAGGAAGAGAATAGGAAGTACATGAGATAATCTAAATAGCCGAGAGCAATAATCATAGTAGAATGGTGACCATGTGAAAGATGAAGATGAAGATTAAAATGGAAAAAATAAAAAAGTAAAAAAGCTAATCAAATGTCATTGATATTTAGCGTAATCACAAAGCTTTTAATCCAACCTTTTATCTCTCAATTTGAATTATTTTCTTTTCTCAACCCTTTTAATGTCTGAAGAGGTAAAGGGCAATGGCTTCCAATTTTATTCGATTACTGAACTTCTTTTTTCTTATATCTTTTTGATTGTGCGTTTCACTTTAATGAGCGGGTTGAGAGATTAAGTTGTACCGGAGTCTCAATACAAGTGGAGTTTCTCGCGCTTTTTCACTAATTTACTTCTTTTATGACACTTGTATTTCTAACTCTTATTAGCTTATTAACTGACATTTTTTTTATACTCTCATTACTGAATTATGTCGATAAATAGCTTTACAAAAGGTCTTTTGACTTTAATCTTTGTTACCAGAGTTTTTTTTTGCTCATTTGAAAAAGTTAAAGAAGTTCTAATCCACGAGTATTAAATTGATATCTCTGTGGAAAAGTTGACCTTGACCGCATGACTTGAGATCTGAAGGAATTTAATAAGATCCTATCAATATGGTCCAGGACGTCTATCATGACCTCTGCGCATAGGTCCACCTCGCCCTCTCATTGGTGGACCACCACCTCCTCTACCCCCCCTTGGACCATCACCGCCACCACGACCTCGACCACTGCCCATATCACCGTCTCTAGGGCCAAAACCTCCTCGGCTACCTCCCATTCCTCCACGGCCCATTCCACGGCCACCACCTCGATCACCGGAGCCACCGCGACCTCCGCGCATACCTCCTCCATTACGTCTCATACCATCTCCTGCCATCTGTATTAATGGAAAAATTTTCATTTATTTTGGCGCCTTTAAAGGGTAAAATCAAGTTAAAAGCTAAACACATAAAATAGAATTCTGTGAAAAACAGAACGCAAATTTATCGCTTTTGAAACTATGCTCACTTGTCAAAAGATTTTGTAACAAAAAAAAACTCTAGTCGATTGGTACTCAATGGAAAATTCAAAATAAAAGAAAAAGTTACCTCTGAATGCAGTGAACCTCCATCTGAACCGCCCGGAGCTCCTCCAGGTTTTGGTGCTTGACATCGATTACATTCTGTCCTCCATGCGAAATTATTGTTCCCACAACTTGGATTAGGACAATTCCAGTCTCCATCTCTACCACCACCTCCAGATCGACCACCAGGTCCTTGAATAGATGATAAGAAATAAAAGAGAAACATATGAGTATCATGGTAAAGTAATCTCAGTAAATTAAAAAAACTAACCTCCGGGTCCACCTCCACCTCCGCGCCCAAATCCTCCACCCATGGGTCCACCTCGACCTCGACCTCCTCCACTGCCTCCTCCTCTACTTCCACCACGAACAAATCCACCTGGTGGTACTTTTCTTTGAGCCATTTCTACTTTAATTGTATTTCCCCACAGTTCTTTACCATTAAACCATGATATCGAGGAATTGGCAGTTGGAGGATCATCATAAGTTACAGTGGCTTCTCCTTTGCTTTGACCAGAGTCTTTATCTCTATAGATCCAAATTTTATCTCTACCAGTTTTTTTATCTTTCTGTAATATAAGAAAACAAAAATTAACATTGATTCAAATTGTATAAGATGAAGAAAATTACTTACTTTTATTAAACCAATGGAGCCAAAATATTCGGCAATATCAGTCTCAGTGGCTGTTTTTGGTAATCCCGAAACAAATACAGTGTCATGCATGTATTCAGCTAAAAAGAAAAAAGTGACAATGAGTTTAAACAAATCAAGTGACAAAAATACAAAATAAAACAAAAAATACAAACCTCCATGAGCTGAGTGTGAAGGTGGTCCCTGTGACTGATATCCACCGCCATAACCTCCTTGGGATGCATGTGAAGGTGGTCCTGGTGGTCCTTGTGATTGATATCCACCACCACCGCCACCACCATACCCTCCTTGAGCTCCATGTGAAGGTGGCCCGGGTGGTCCTTGAGATGAGTACCCACCTCCTCCTCCTCCACCACCACCACCACTACCATAACCGCCAGCAGTTGAATGTGAAGGTGGTCCAGGTGGACCTGGTGGACCCTGAGATTGATAACCACCGCCACCACCACTACCATAACCTCCTCCACCTCCATAGCCTCCACCACTAGGAGGATAACTAGAAGATGCATATCCACTAGAATTGTACCCGCCTGGAGCTGAATTAGATCCATATCCCCCTGCCATATAGCCTCCGCCATGAGAACTGCCAGAAGCACCATAGCCACTACTTTCATATGTGTCCATGTTTATTTTGTTTGAATAGACTTTCAAACAACTTTAAAAAAGAAAATCACAATTTAAATTTAGACAATAAGTTAATTAAATTTATTAATAATAAACCCAAAAAATAAATATTCCACAGAAACAAAAGAAAAGGATGAAAAGAGAGCAACTCGAAGGGAGAATGTGTGATACATACAATTGGCACGCGAGTCGCCACCTCTGTTTCTCTTTCTTTTGTTCGATTACAAGTGAAAAGAGATTCAAGAGATGAGAAAACAGAGGTGGCGACTCTTCTTCGAGATTGTTTGCAAGGAAAAGCTTATTCTTTGGTAGGAGGAGAAGAATATCCGCAAGTGCGCAGATTACAAATATGTGTATCTGGTATTACAATCGTAGAGAGAGAGAGAGAGACGGTAGAGAACAAGAAAGACAGAGGTTAGAATTCAAGAGAAAGGGAAGAGAGAGAGAGAGAGAGAGACTGAGCTCTTTACAACATGAGAGCATTTATTACAAATTTTCATAGGGTCGGTCTCTCTCCTTGGTGCTAACCCATTCAAATAGCTTACATTTGGTAGGCAAGTCTGTTAAATATTCGGTTAGCAGGAAAGAGAGAGAGAGAGAGAGAGAGAGAGGAAAAAGGAAAATTGAATCGGGATTTAAGGTCGATTATTGCGTTGCCAGAATGATGGTTTATTCCATGGGCAATATCGAAGTGTATGAGCTTTTGCTCCACCGCCATTCTGACAAATGGGACAATTGTAACAGCGAAGAACAGGACAGATAATGTTACCCTCTGGACATTTGAGAATGTGACTCTTGTAAAATGCCGGTGGATGACCATTGTTTTTACAGAAAACACACTCGGTGCAAGTTGGATTACGTCGACGAACCCTTGGTGGAACATAAGAAGCTTGAAGACCATTTAAAGTACTGTTAGCAGCCAATGAATTATCAGAGTTATTATAACTACTATTGACCATAGAATGATGATTGTTATTATTACCAATACCAAAGGAATTATTGGTATTATTATTGATGGTGTTTGGATTAGTCGAGTGTTGTTGATGTCCAGTGGTAAGATTGTTATGATAATTATTGGTATTATCTCTGTTGGAATTAGTTGCAGGATTGATGGAATTATAATTATGCGAGTTAATTTGATTGTTATTGGTGTTTGATAAGTGATTTGAATTTATATGATTACGGGGAGTGACCGAGAAAGAAGAAAATAAATCCCTGGTTCCAATAGGAGGGCAACTTCTCGGTGGAGCGATCCATTGATTGTTATAATCATAACTGTTTAATCCTTTGGTATTAAATGGGTTTGAATTAATACCATTGATTGCATGAGTTAAATTACTAGAATAGAGGCCACCACCATTACCATCAACACCAGTGGTACCTCAATGGTACCACAATTAGAATTGTTGTTAACACTATTACTATTATTAGTAATATTGTTATTCTCACCAGCGGGTGTAAGATTAGAGGTAGAATTTAGATTACCACTAAAATTGAACAATCCATGTTGATCATTGGTTGACCATCCACTTGAAAAGAGTCCATTAAACCGATCTACCAGTAGATTGGAATGAGAAAATTCAGAAGCCTTGAGATTGAAATCAATGGGCTCCGAGAATTTGGGTGGACGACGCTTAGAAAAACTATCCATTGCCATTGGAGAAGAAGAAGATTAGATGGAAGATTAGATGAGGAGAGACAAAGATTAAAGATGGAGATACACAACACACAATAAAGAAGAAGAAGAAGAGAAAAAAAATAATCAAATTCTAATCAAAGGCAGAAAAACGAACAATCACAAAATGATTAGATTATCTAATGAGAGAAGGTAAAATTTAGAGAATAATCAATAAATTGTTGACAAGGTAAATAAAAGAATAGAATAAAATTACTCGGTGATTAACTGTAAGGGAAAAGATTTGATTAAACTGATTAAGATTCACATTGACTGTTTGGCTTTTTAATAAGCAGATTAACAAGTGATCAGGCTCATTGTTTTTCCCTCCAACTTTTCACAATCTTAACCATTGATAAGAGAAGAGGGAAATTAATTTGTTCTTTCGTTGAAAGAGAACAAATTGACTGGAGGGAGAATGAGGGAGAACCAGCAACGAGAGAGACACTTTTCTTCTTATCGCAACTGTAACATTGTCTCTTCGTAATCATCATCATTTTTTTCATCATCTTCTCATCATTTTCTCACCAATCGTCATGCGAACATAATTATTGGTATTTGTTTGTTGTTCTAAAAAGCTCATGACTCATACATTTGTTTTTCCCTCATTTGTTTTCTTGCAATTCTTTCCCTTGGCTTTTAATTGTTGACAATTAGGTTCATCAAAAGATGTTATTTCTTTTCGTTTAAATTGTTTCTCAAACAATTAGACCAACCACAGAGTCTAATTAGTTGACAATCTCAAGGGAAACAAATTGTAATTTCTTCAAAATACCACAAAAAGTGAGATGAAAAATTTAATCTTCTTTTCTATTGGTCATCAAATTAACATTTTCACATCTATTGGTTAGTTTTGATTCTCTAACAGATTAATCAGATTAGATTGATTATTGATCTTGTTTGGTGATTATGATTGGCAACTTTTTCCTTCCGTTCAATGTTTTCCCATCAATTTGATTTTCGATTTTTTCCTCGAAAACAATCAACTTGATTCTCTTCTTCTTCTTTTAATCCATTGCCGTAATCTCAACGTTCCAAACTTAATTTCTTAGATATTATTATTGAACAATTGATTGTTAATCGAACTGTCATTTCGTTTTTTTATTCTTAATGGTTGAATTATACTTTGACTCACTTTTTAGTTGTGGGTTAAAATTGTCTTAGTTAACCAAGAAAACAAAAACAAACTAATGAAAAATTTTAAGCGCAATTTTTTAATTATTGATTCAACATAATTGCTAATCCGAAAAATGAATGAAAAGATGTTACAATATTCAGATTATTGCAAAAGTGAAAAAAAGTTATAAGATTTCAGAAGATGTTTAATTTAAAGTTGAAGTTGTTTCGCTACCTCCCACGGGAACCCTTCCCTTCCAAAGTGACCCCAAACTGCCGTTTTTGAAAAGATCGGTTTTCGAAGACCCAATTCCCTGAAAACAAAAATGGAAAACAAAAAGTTAGTGAAAAAAAGTTGAAATTATTTTCTCTAGTGGTTAAGGAGAGAAATAATTACTTAATGATTGTTCCAGGTCTTAGGTCAAAGTTTTTCATAACTATATCATGCAGTTGTTTTGACGATAAAGATGAAGTTCCATAAGAAAATACTGTAACTGAAAGAGGCTCTGAGATACCAATGGCATATGAGATCTAAATTAATGAAATAAGAGATTTAATTAAATGTCAAGAGATTAATGAATGAACAACGATTAATTAAATGAGTCAGATTACTCTTGTTTATATTATCTTGTTATCGGTTAATATTTACCTGGACACTACATCGTCTGCATAGTCCACTTTTAACAAGCGATTTAGCGACCCATCGAGCGGCATAGGCTCCAGATCGATCTACTTTGGTAGCGTCTTTACCAGAAAAAGCTCCTCCTCCGTGAGCACCCCAACCTCCATAAGTATCGACGATTATCTTACGTCCAGTGAGACCGGCATCAGCCTGACAGAGGGTGAAAAGAGAGAGAGAGAGAGAGAGAGAGAAAATGTCAATAAATGATTGATTGATCCAATATTTAAAAGCATATCTTTCGTGTTAACTGAATAAAAAGTCACTTAAATAGTCAACTTACCAATGGACCGCCAGTGATGAACTTCCCGCAAGGATTGATGTGATAGATTGTTTTATCATCCAAATATTTGTCAGGAATAACAACTTTAATCACCTTTTCCATAATTTCTTTCTTAAGTTGATCCATTTCAATCTCTGGTGAATGTTGAACAGAGATAACAATAGTATGAACTCTTGATGGTATAGCGGCTCCTTTATCGAAACGATATTCACAGGTAACCTGAGTTTTGGAATCAGGTCGAGCCCAAGCAAATGTACCATCACGTCTAAGTTGAGATAATTTTTCATTCAATTTATGAGAAAGAACAACAGTTAAAGGCATACACTCTTCAGTCTCATCAGTAGCATAGCCAAACATTAACCCTTGATCTCCAGCACCTAAATGTTCATCATCTTTATCAGTCCAAACACCTTGGGAAATTTCTTGAGCTTGATGTTCAATGGCAACCAGAACATTACAAGTTTTATAATCGAAACCTTTATCACTACTATCAAATCCAATGTGTTTAACTGTTTGACGAACAACATCTTGATAATCAACGTGAGCAGAAGAGGTAATCTCGCCAAAAACCATGACTAACCCGGTTTTACTAATAGACTCACATGCAACCTTAGCATATGGATCCAATGCAAGGTGAGCATCCAAAACAGCATCACTAACCTGGTCACAAAGTTTATCTATTAGTGCATAGCAACAAAGAGAACAATATAACACAAATAGAAAAGGTTAAAAATAACAACACAGTAAAATAATTAAAAGAGAACAAAAGAGAAAGAGAAAGAGAGAGAGAGAACAAAAAGAGAACAATAATAAAAAAAGAAATTCTAATTTACCTGGATGTCCCTCTCCCACAGATTCAGAGGTGAACAGGAATGTACCATCGTCATCAATTGAATTCATCCTGATTGAAATTCGATCAAATTGATTGTTAATTAGAAAAAAATTTAGAAGATGAAAAAAATTTAATCAATTGTGATAAAAGAATGAGATAAAACTACAATTAGACCAAAGGATGAAGACACCACGAGGATTTAAGGAGTAAAAGTAACAAGATAAATGAAAATTCATCTCGGAAATGCTGAGAAAGAAAGAATTCCATCAACGCCATCTATTGTTTGAAAAGAATAGAAGTTAATTTATTTTCTTTAATTACAATTAATCATTTTGTTTAGAAAATGAATTTTTAATTGTTACCAATAAATCAGCGTAACTGTCAATTAGCTCGTATATTGTATTTACTTAATATCGTTTTAATGTTTTAACTTTAGTTCAGAACTTTGGTTTAATCTTAACAACGACAACAATCAACTTGAATGTACTTGAAGTGAATTAGCTGATAATTAATTTGTTCCGATAACAATTAAAATTAAAGAATAACTTTTACCTTGAACCTTAATTGTTAAAAAGTTGGAAAGAGGAAAACTAATCTACTTTAATTGTTGTTGTTGTTACTTAATATCATATAAGGCAAATTGACTAATAGACAAAGTAATTTAATATTTAATTAGAAAATGCAATTTAACAATCAATTTACAAGGAAATTGATCAACTAACAACAATTAGTGATAAGTTATTTGTTTAATGAAATTAGATGATACGATTAATTTTCTCGGAAGTTAATTAAATGTTAATTAGTTGAAAGAAAAGTTTTTAAATAGTTAATTAAAAGATCAATTTCCTTTAATCATAATCTCATCATTTTCATTCATTGAAATTGAAAACAAACAAACTAATCAACAATTAACTATATGAATCGTAATCGTAATTGTGATTACAATTTAATTTCTACTCTTTCAACAATTATACTAATCAAATTGGTGAAGGAAAACCAATCAATCATTAACATAATACTCTAATGGATTGATTAATCCATTAGTCGTAACCATCGTTGATTAAACTAATCATTGACCCGATAATGATTAAAAAAAGGTGATTGATTAAGTGTAGATGTTTGATTTTGTCACAATTAAGTACCGACAATTTAAGTACATAAAGAGACTTTGACAATCTGCTCAATTCGCACTCAAAGTCAAGGTTTCAATCCAAATTGTTGTTATAACAATTAACTCGGTGACAAGGTAACAATCAACAATCAACGATCCATATTTCCATTAAATTTAATTAACTTTTCCATCATAACGATTACAACATTTTCTCATTTTCAGCTTATCTCTTGTACTCTTCATGTCTCATCATATGTTTTCTGTTTGTTACTCAACCGAAAGACTCAGTTGATGTTTACACTTTTACTTTGATTGTTGTTCCTCATTTTTAATTGATTTCTATTTAATTTCTATTATTAGTGTCACATCGTTGATTGTTTACCAATATGGGAATTGTGGTGAGTAATTATAACGTCAACAATAAATTAATTAGTTTCCCAGTTTCAGTTTTCATCCCTTCTTATTGGTTTGTTTACTTATTTTTTGTCATTCGTTTCTATCTAATCCTTGGGCCTAATTAATTTTTGTTTTTCCTTCTTTTTAAAGGCTAATTCAGCTGTAATTGGTTCTATTACTACATTAATTGTTGGTATTTTTATATTTCTATGGATTAAAAAGGGTAAATCAAAAAGTAAAAAGAGATTACTGATGGATTCTAATGTCAAGTATCAAGTTCCATTGCTTGGTAAAGAGGTAATTACTATTTTCCTTTTACTCTTTGAACCTCAATTGTTGAATTGAAGGAAAATGGGTCAAATTCTGGTTAATCAGGTAGTCAGATATCTAATTGTCTTTTTAATTTTTTATGTATAGAATATCAATTGGAATACTCGACGCTTTAGATTCGGTTTACCTACGGAAGATTCTGTTCTAGGTGTTGGTCCTGGTGAACATATTTATCTATCGGCTAAAATCAACGGCGATTTAGTAATTCGTCCTTATTCACCAATCACTGGCGATGAAACCAAAGGCTATTTCGATCTCATTATCAAAGTGAGTATCTTGATGTCTTACAGCTTAAAACAGAGACTTTGGCATCTTCGTTTTGAAGAGTAAATCAACTTATCGATTGTAAATCTTGACAAAATGGTTACCAATCAACCTCATCAACAAGTACTCAAGTCTAATAACAATTTGTGTCTTATTTGGATACAAAACCATTACATGTTAGCTTAGTTATCAAATTAAATCGTCAGAGGTTTTGATAAATCCAGATAACCACTAATGTTATGAGAAACAATATGATGAAAGTTTCATATGATCTGAACAAGATGATTAAATTGGATATAATCAATATATTGATTTCAAATTCAACGTATTGTAGATCAATGTCAATTATATTTTCTCATCACGTTACATTTACATTATTTTCAGGTTTATTTTGCTAACCAAAACCCAAAGTATCCTAATGGAGGAAAAATGTCTCAATACTTGGAAAGTATGAAAATAGGAGAGACAATTGATATTCGAGGTCCTGATGGAAGAGCGATTTACATTGGTAATGGTGATTTTCTTATTAAGAAAAAGAAAACTGATCCATTGGTTAAATACCATTACGATAAATTGGGTATGATCGCTGGTGGAACTGGCCTTACACCTTTGTTTGCCGTTTTACGTGAGATTATTTCAAATCCGGAGGATAAGACACAAGTTTCATTCCTATTTGCAAATCATACATCAGATGATATTCTTTTACGTGAAGAATTGGACCAAATAGCGTCAAGATTTCCCGACCAAGTTAAAATCCATTACACTTTAGGTAAATCAGAAGAGGGTTGGCAACACAAAGTGGGTCGGGTTGATGATAATATGATCCGAGATTGTTTGTTCCCACCAGCTGATGATACGATGATTATGATGTGTGGTCCACCGGCTATGGTCAAGGAAACACTTCAACCAACATTGGACAAAATGGGTTACAGTGAATTGAGAAGACATGTTTTTTAAAGAGGATCCATTTCAATTTCTCTGTCAATTCCTTGGCCCCTTCCTTAAAGATCTCACAATCTACTTCTCTACAGAGGAAATGTGAACATTTACAAGGATCAAGTATTAATACTTAAAAGATGAATGGATAACAGTTAAAATGGAAGGGATAAATTACTATTTTGAAAAATCAAATAGAAACAGTCAATAGACCTGATGGAATCCATTCATCTACATGCTACTACTTATGTGCAATTACAGATATATAAATATGTTTGTAAAAAAAGGAGATTTACATGACTCAATTAAATTTTGCAGAATTATTTTGTTGAATTATGTTTAACTTTTTAACTACTTCTTTGTGAACAGTATTACGATAAGATCTTAAAGTTGATTCGTAATGTTGAATAGTTGGTAAATCCAATCCAATCTCAGCGAAGGCGCGATTAAGTAAATCAATGAAATCATTTGGACCTCTAAAGTGTTTGGAATCATCTGAAGATCTTAATAGATGTGTCAGTTTCTTAAGATAATCACCAGTGATTTGGGTTAATATCTCAATGATACTTTCACTGGTCTCATGGAATCCAGCATGAGTAGTAATCAGAATGATAGATCGTTTCAACAATTGTTGGACAGATTCTTGACTTAAGAATCGTGATAGGTGATCATAATCATCACTAGAAGAAGCTTGTTTAAGTTCTAAACATTGAAGATCATCAGAGGAAATAAGAAAATCAGAAGATGAAGATGAAGATGAGGAACCGGCTTGATCCAATTTGGTTAACAATCGGAGTAATTGAATAGTATTAATAACAACCGGATTACCAACAGGAAGATCATTGATATCGATCAACTTCTTATCATAATGACTGATAAAAACAGGTTCATTCATCCTTAAACAGAAACAGAGAACAATTAACTAGAAATAAGATTAACAAGGTTAATCAGCAATTAATCAATGAAGGAAAACAATTGAACTAAAATTTGAACACAAAACCGAAAAAAAGTGAAAATGTAAACAAATCGAAAGTGTTGCCATCTAACAACAGGAAAGGAAACTAATCAAGATGAACTTTTTTCTTGTATCAAAATGAAAGAAATGATCAACTAATTAGAATCAAAATTAATTAAAAGAAAATTAAAAAATCAGTTTACAATAATTGTAATTAACGTTTAATTTACTTCATTGATTGTTGTTTAACAGTGAAAATTATATTGATTAAGAAAAAATTGTTAACCTAACCCATGATAATCATAGAACTGAATTTATAATCAACTGATTGTGGAATAAAAAACTTTCCTAATTGTTATAATATTTGATTTTTGCTCATTTTGAACAATTTAATTAAATTAGAAAATTTTATTGTAACAATTAAATTGGTTCTGTTTTTTATATGATTTCTATAAGGATTTAATTGTTGATTGAAAATGAATCTCTTTTTGTTTGGGATTGTTATTTTTTCTTATTAATTGTGATCAGTTTAATGTTTTCAATTTTATGTATAAAATTCCAAATTAACAATTAACTTTGTTGTTGTTGTTGTTGAGCAATTTGTGATTAGTTTAATGATTTAATTATCATGCTCTGGGTTTAATACTTGGTAATATCGTTAATGGTTTCCAATTGTTTAATATCAATTGTCGATCCACACATTGGACAAACGGGTTCACGATTTAATAGCCTGGAAAATATTGATTATATTGATGGTTGTGATTTAATAGTGATGGTTCATTGTTTTTTGATTGTTGCTAATCAGTTAAATCAAGTAAGAAATTAGCGAAAATATCAACATTACCTGTTGAAGTTGCTAATTTAAAAGCTTCATCGGTACACTTGGAAAGGATTAGAAATTTAATCGCAGATTCGATATCGTTGATCTTTTGGAAAATCAAGCGATCATTTTAGCTCCTTCTAAACTACCAGAATCTTTTACCAATCTAACGGCTTCACTTGGATTAAGCTTATCGAGAAGAAGACGAACCGAATCAATCGTTAATCCAGAGCTTAGATAAGCTTTAACATCTTCTTTGTAATCACCTTGACTTTCCTTGATTCGGCCATATTGATTAAGAATATCAACATTAGTTAAGGAAAACTTATCGATCAATTGTCCAACTTTTAGTGTATTTCGAACGGACAAATATAATTTAGCCACTTTTTCACCATCACCACCCTGTTCATAAAGTTGAGTAGCTTCTGAATAAAGTTTCAACGATTCCAATATAGAATCACATTCAATGTGTAATTCATGGTCATCAACCAATTCCAAAGCAGCTTCAACTTATTCGATTCAAATATCATGAAACTCATGATATAAAGATTCCCATGTCAGTTAATCTCAGGAGAAATAGATTCTTCTTATTGAGAATTAGACTAACACAATTATTACCTGTCGATGAATTAATTGTATCTCGAGGTTGAATTGTGGTAAAGGTTAAAAATGAAGGTTAACCTTTAAATTTCTTTTACTCGTTCCAACGGCAAGAAGATGATCTTTTTTTGACCAAACCAACATGGTTAACATGTCACGAACATCGGTGTCAACTCTAGACATCTTATGGACACTCGAATCCCAAAGGTAAATTATCGGTGATTTACCACTAATTGCACCTAAAATATTACCTTCAACATTCCATGAAAGTCCAGTACACTGACTGGGCACAATAAAGAAAATAGAAAATAATTTAATTTCTTTTTCTTGATTGTTTGTTTCGTCTTTTCTAATTACCCTGGTAAATTAATTGTATCGATTTTATTTCCATGTCAATCATGAACTATCACCGTATTATCATAGCCCATTGTAACCAGGTAACTTGCTTTATTCGGCTGCCAAATTATGAACACAGGACCCGAACCATGGGTTCGTTCAGGTATAGTGAGTACACGCTGATTAATAACAATGATATAAAACAATGAACGATTAAATCTCGATAATCTTGAACTTCCCATTTGCCTCGAGAAAAACAATTGAAACAAATGAATGACCAGAATATTGGTCGTGATCATTGAATTTCAATAGATTGCAATCGAAAGGAAATCAAACTTACTTTCATAATTATTTGTTTCCTAATAATTTAAACGAGTGAATAAAAAACAAGAATAATAATTTACTCAACAATTAAAACTCTTAATAAATCAGATATTATTGTTAACAATGTTGATGAATTAAAATAAACAATTGGTTTCATGGATTCAATTAGATTGAAAACAAAAACAAACCAAAAATTTGTGATCATCAAATTGATTTAGTTGTTAATAATTTACCTGGATGTCCCTCTCCCACAGATTCAGAGGTGAACAGGAATGTATCATCGTCATCAATTGAATTCATCCTGATTGAATAGTTGGTAAATCCAATCCAATCTCAGCGAAGGCGCGATTAAGTAAATCAATGGAATCCTTTGGACCTCTAAAGTGTTCATTCATCCTTAAACAGAAACAGAGAACAATTAACTAGAAATAAGATTAAAAAGGTTAATCAGCAATTAATCAATGAAGGAAAACAATTGAAGTTCAATTATTGAACTAAATTAATCAGTAATTATTTGAACACAAAACCGAAAAAGAAGTGAAAAATGTAAACAAATCGAAAGTGCTGCCATCTAACAACAGGAAAGGAAACTAATCATGTTGAACTTTTTTCTTGTATCAAAATGAAAGAAATGATCAACTAATTAGAATCAAAGTTAATTAAAAGAAAATTAATGATTAATCACCTAAAAATACGATCATTTTGATTGATTACACTTGTTGACATTGAAGTTAATTAATTAAACTTAAACCAACTTAAACTCAAAGCAAATCTCCAATTCAAAAAGTGGAAACAATTTAGAGAAAAATTTTATTTAATTTTTTTCCTAATCACAATTAGTATTTATATTGTTAATCACAATTAAACACATATAAGGTAGACCATTAAATAGCCCAATTTACTGATCCCCTACTTTTAGATTTGTAAACGTTTTAATTTAAGTCTTTTACTTAATTACTTTTAGATGATTAGAAACAATTTTTTCCTTAAACCATCAGCTGATTTAATCTTTTACTAATTAATTGCAACAATTAACCTAAACTTTGTGTCGTCCATCTTAATGTCAAGGACAGTTTATCAATTTTAATCATGTATCGGTTTAAATTACAAAGTTGAAATTGACATTTTCAACTTAAATGATTAAAAATCAATAATTTAAATTTAAACTTTTCACCAATTGATCAAATTTAATTTAATCTCGAAGACGAAACAAAATGATTAACTTTTCCCTATTAAATTTTAATTGAGTAAAAAAAAAATTAAGGAAAACAAATGATTAACTGATTGCATCAAACTAATCAGATAAAATAAGTTAATAAGTCGAAAAGTTAATCAACTGATTAATAATAAGGGTCGAGATTGACCTGAACTAACTGACCAATTAAAAGATTTGGTCAACAATTAAATCTATGGATGAAAATTTGATTAATTGATGATTCCTTTTCTTTCCGTATAGTTGATTGTTCATTGATTATAAGAAAAATTTAACAATCAATGAATCAAATTGTTACAAAAGTATTGATTGTAACCATTTGAAAATATTGATTGAATAAAATTCAACAAAACAAATTGTAATCAAAATAATAGAGGAATTAACTAAATTGTTGTTAAAGTAAAGAAAAATAATTTTTCTTTCTGAAGGTGAACAACAATTATTATAATTATGATTAATAAATTGTGATAGGATCGCCCAAATGAAGAAAAATAATTTAACAGGAAAAATCAGTTTACAATAATTGTAATTAACGTTTAATTTACTTCATTGATTGTTGTTTAACAGTGAAAATTATATTGATTAAGAAAAAATTGTTAACCTAACCCATGATAATCATAGAACTGAATTTAAAATCAACTGATTGTGGAATAAAAAACCTTCCTAATTGTTATAATATTTGAACAATTAGTAAATTATTTTGAAGATGACAGCCCACATCTCGATCCAATTTAACATCAACATTGAAAAATTAATTAATCATCTTTAATTGTGATTAAACAAGGAGTCAAATTTGTAAGATGATTGGGAAAAAGTTTGATTCCTAAAACAAATCAACAACCTCGTTCTGATTAATTATTGTCAATTTTAATTTTTCATTGAGACAATTGATTAATCATCAATTAACTACTTGAAAATCATCAATGTTATCAAATGAATTAACAATTAGCCAAAACATTAACACTTAAAAAATAAGAAACTTGTTATTATCAATGAAACTTTGAAGCTTCAAAAGTTAATCATAATCTTAAAATTATTAAACATAATCAAATGAGAAATTAACAAAGGAGAAACATGTTAATTGTTAATCGTTACAATTAACAATTAAATTAATTCTATGTTAACACTCAATGTTGTCTGATTGTTGTTTAAATAGTTGAACAGAATTTCAATTTTGAAAGAAGAATTTTCTTTCTATTCTTAATTTCTTCAAGGTTAATTTACTGATGGTGATGATTAACTAACAACAATCAACCAACTACAGAATACAAATTAAACTGTGATAATTAAATAGATTCACCTAGACCCATAATATTAACGTTCCAACATTTATCCTGCCCTTAAATCAAGGTTAAAATCATTTTCTAATCTTCAGTTGATTCTGGATGAAGATGAAGATGAAGGTATAAGATGATGAGGAAGATAATGATGATGAGGATGATGAGGATAATGAGAGTGAGTAAATAAGACTAAGGTGGAGAGGGAAAAACTAGGAAGAAAGAGGAAAAAGGACAAAGAGGTGGGAATTGCCCGTCAGAACTTTTCGTTACTAGAAAAACTTTTTTTTTTCTTCTTTTTGTTTTGTTCTAATGAATTCGAATTGATATTTTATTATAATTTAAACACTTTTATAATCATTATGGATACAAGGTGACGTTTGGATTTTACAACAATCAACTAGACAGTAATTAAAATTAACAATCAAATTAAAATAATTAGTGTTTGCTTGCGATTCTTACACTGATCTTAATTGTATTTACATTAAACTATTGTTGTTTAAACACCTACTGTAGTCTAAAGGTTTAATGGTTTGGAGTTAATTGTTTGATAAAATTTTCAATTATTAAAATACGATAATCATAATTAGTACCACGTCCTTGTGAACATTAGCATCGGATGGATGTTTAGATAATTGTGATTTAAATTGTTCGGATTATGTGAGTTTGGAGAAATTAAATGTTAATCATTAGGTTTCTTTTGTAAGGAAAATGCTAATTAATCAGAAACTTGCATCATTTGTTAATTGTTCTGATGTAATATGAGCAATTTAATGAGTTGAGCATTTGATTTTTTGATTGTTTTGCTTTTTGGTCGTGATTATTATGACTGATTTAGTTGTTTAATTCAGTCTATCAGGATTGGAAATTAGTTCATATAAGTTTAAAGTTCATGTTTATGACAGCGAAAGTGAATCAATTTTAATTGACAAGTTTTGCAATTATAATAGGATAATTGGTAATTAGGAAAAAGGATTAATTGCAAAATGATTAAGATACTAACCTAGGCTTGGAAAAGGTGATTAAGATTAAAAGTTAGTGAAGATGATTAAGTTTGCAGATTAAATAAGGAAGACGATCCACAGATTATGGTAATAGAAAGTGATTACTGGGTTAGTTTTGATTAGATTTGATCGCCTACATGATTATAATTATTGATTTAATCCAATTTAAGGTCAGTATTTATTATTTAAGATCAATTTGTTATTATTTTATAAAATGCCAATTGATATTAAAGTGACCTTGTGGCCATAGTTGGTTTCCTTCAAATGAATCAAATAACATCTTTAATCAAGGGTGGAATCAATAGTCAAAATATTCAAGCGCCGTCAGATTCAGGTGGGGTTTTCATCTTTCTCTTTCTTTCTCTTTCTTTTCATCTTCTTTTATTTCTTTTTCACTTTCTCTCGTTCTCACTTTCCTTTCTCTCTCTCTCTCTTCTCTCTCTCTCTCTCTCTCTCTCTCTCTCTTCTCTCTCTCTCTCTTCTCTCTCTCTCTCTCCATCCTCATCCATCTTCCTCTTCTCACTCAAATTAACTTTTACTCTCACTTTCATCTTAATCTCACTTTAATTTTTGGTATAAAGGCTGATTCCTCTCAATCTAAATCATCATTCACAATCAGTTAATTCATTTATTCACTTGATCAAAGTAATCAAACAACAAACCAACTAACTAATCATGAAGGTAAGTTTTCATTTACTTTTCTCTTGACTTTTATTTTTATCAATTAGATTCCTAGAAATACAATCAACCAATCAACTGATTAATTTTCTATCTGTGGATTATTAGGTCATCATCTTCCTCGCTCTCTGCGGTATTGCCTCAGCTGGAATCATCGCCGCCCCAGCCGCCATTGTCTCAACTGGTTCATCATCACAAACCCGAAGCCAAGATGGTCTTGGAAACTACGCTTTCGCTTACAATGAAAACCATGCCACCGGTGGTTCATCACGAAGTGAATCTGGAAACGCTCGGTCAAGTTGTTGGATCTTACTCACTTGGTGTTGTTGATGGAAGACAACGAGTTGTCAACTACGTCGCTGATGCTCTCGGTTTCCGTGCCGCCATCTCAACCAACGAACCAGGTACCGCCCTAAGCCCGCTGCATCCACCAGCATCTCATCACCCGGAGTCATCGCTGCCCCAGTCGCTGTTGCTGCTCCAGTTGTCGCAGCTGCCCCAGCTCCAATTGTAGCTGCTGCTCCAGCTGCTCCATCTTACTATGCACCAGCTCCAGCTAAGATTGTCGCAGCTGCCCCGCTTATGCCCCGCTTATGCCCCAGCTGCCCTCCCCGTCGCCGGTGCTCATTATTCCAGCGTAATCAACCACGCCTCATACGCTCCAGTAGCCGCCAAGGTTGTTGCTGCTCCAGCTGCCGCCCCTGCTCTCTGGTAAATTAATTAATACCATCAATTAATTGTAACAACTATAATGATAATTGTCTAAATTTATGAACAAACTGCCAAATAATAATAATAATGTCAATTCACAATTTGTAAATTGCTCAACCAAGTTTCTCATTCATTTCATCTATTATAATATTTAATCTCGGCTTATAATCAATATTATAATATAATCTAATATAATAGTCAAGTTCATTAGATTAATTAACCAATAACCAAAACTAAAACAAAACAAAACAAAACAAAAATCAAAACAAATTAAAATGAAACAATCAGTTAATCAACTTTAAATCAACAACATACACAATCGGGTGTGTTTATAATCATCATCATGTTGTTTTGTTACCATTCAATCAATTCAAATCAAAATCAAATTCAAATCTCTCAAATCATTAAACAGTTATTATCAACTTTTTGACCGGAATATGTTGGCTACAATTAACTTTAATGAATTTCAACAAAAAAAAAAGTTAACTGAATCCTCCAACAATTAAGAAATAAAAACATTTAATTAAGCCTGAGGGACTCACTCCTTAAATTGCTTTCACTTTTCAATCATTTGATCACAATCAACATACAGTCGATATCTTAATCACAATCAATGAATCCAGTTGAATAGAAAAATATAATCTCAACAATTTATCCAACAAGGTATAAATTATTAATAATTTTCATCTCAACTTTCCTCTTCACTGACTAATCATCACAATTAACTCAAATCATTAACGTTCAAATTAAAAATCATGGTTTAATCACTAACCTAACAAACTGTTAACCTAATATAACAGCAATCAATAAATTGTAAACATTAAGGTATTGACGAAATTCAGTTAATTACTCTAATCAATGTTTTTAATCGAGTTCATTATCAGATAGAAATTAAAATGCAATTTAGTTAAACGAGTAATAAATTTTTAATTTCTTCCAAAAATATCAATTCAGTTAATAGGAACATAATTTCAAGATCAACAATTAACAGTTTTCCATCATTTTCTATACAATCTATCTAATGTTTACAACTTTCGTAACTCGAACGATACTCAGAAATGTTCAAAGTTTCTTTCGAACTGCAACACGAACCATGATTCGATTCCAGGAGAAAATGAAAACAAGTCAATAAGAGAATCGGAGATTTTGAGGAGCGAATTCTTTAGATCTTCTAGAAATCGACATTCGACTAACTCGAATCTTTATCTGATCGAAAAAAATTTTCGAAACTCATCCCAGTTTTTTTCGAGGACTTTCGTTTCGAACTTTTTGTTCTAACGAATTCGATAAACAAAAGTTCTAAAAGAAATAGTTTATTCTTATTCTTATTCAGCATTTTGAATTATTATGCAACTATTAATATAATTCATCGATTTGATCTTCAATTGAAAAACCTTTGATTTAATTCACTTCTCACCTGATCAATTGATTGTTGTTAATTGTTACACAATCAAGCAAAATAATACAATACAAACTAACCTTGAAAATGAATTCTTATTAAATAATGAATGTTGATCAATGATAAATAAATCATTCAATTCATTTTTCATCACAATTTATAAATTTAATTCAAATCAAATTTTTAGATGAATGATTGATGAATCACAATTAGTAAATTTGGAAGCACAATTAAAAATTAAACAATTTGAATCACATTTGATTAAGTTTTTTTTTTCAAGCAAGTATTTATTATCGTTTAAATATAAATTGTATTTTTTGTTACAAGATTTTTGTTTTAAATCACAATTAAAATTGACTATTCGTTGTAATTAGAAATGCAAATTAATCTTAATCCGAAAATAATTTATCACTTTTAATGAACATTTGATTAACAACAAATCACACTGGTTACGATTAATTATCAATCAAATCCAAAGGGATCAATGAACAATGGTAGAAAACAATGGGTAAGAAAAATTGTACTAAATTGTTAATTGTGATTAACACTAATGATGAAGGTGATTGATGATGATTATCAGATAATTTTGTAGTTTAGATCACAGTTAATCCAATGTTAAAATGAACACAAGTGAACACACAGATTAAGATGATAATTTTAACCAAGATAAGGTGAGACACTGTAAGTTGGTGCATAAGCTACAGGTTGAACGGCTGGTAAAGCTGGTTGAGGATAACCAGGGTGACCAGTAAGATAGGCTGTAGGTTGATGAGCAACAGCAACTGGAACAGGTTGAGCTACAGGTAAGGGTTGGTCAGTTGGTGCAGTTCCTGGTTCGTTGGTTAAAACTTGAGCTCTGAAACCATAAGCATCGGCAACATAATTAACGATTCGTTGACGTCCATCAACAATACCTAACGAGTAAGAACCGACCACTTGACCAAGAGGATTACCTGATTCCTTACGAGATGTACCACCGGTGGCATGATTTTCCGTGTAAGCAAAAGCATAATTACCAAGAGAATCTTGAGTTTGACTTTGAACTGAATTACCGGTGTTCGCAACAGCCACAGGTAATGATGAAAGAATCGCCGAGGCTGATGAGAGGCTCAAATGAGCAATTAAAACGATTCCAACGATCTGGAAACAATAAGAAAGAAATGAAAAAACAATTACAATCAACACATCCACAAATCCAATGGATAAAGATGTTGGTTTTTTTTAATCTTTCGCTTACCTTAATCATTTTGAGTTTGATGTTGATTGTGAATTTGATTGGTTTTTACAAAAAGATGATTTAACAACGTGACTGTTAACAATTAACTGTTCAATACTGACCGTTTGTGAATCAATTTATATCATCGCACCAAATGCCTTGAAGAGAGTTCCAAATCGTTGGGTGATCGATTGTGTGCTAATTATCAATTTTACCTTGATCAAAGTTTATAAATTAACTAATTAAAGTGTAATTTATTGATTATTAAAAATGATTTACTGAACGATTTACCCTTATGGTTTTAATTGTTTACACAAAAAAAGGTTAACCAAAAACAAGTGAAATCAAATAAAAAAGTAAACAAAAAGGTTACATGTTTGAATATAGCCTGAGGTAAAGTCTTTCCAATATTAATTAGTTAATTGTTTACATGTAATGTGACATATTATCTTCATCTTAAATCTTTTTCCCTTTACTATCATTGATTAACATCCTCATCAATTTCATCAATCGGTTAACCTGGACAGTTAATCAATACAACAATTTAATACTATCACTTGATATTATCGTTGTTTGTTTTAATTGTGAACGTTCAAAAGGCCGTAAGGAAGTACAATTAACCTGGTTACATTGGTATCAAGTGTCAAAATCAATTAATAATTTAACACATACATTACAATATGCTCGTTACCCTCAGGCAATTAACAAGTAAATATCTCTTTTGACAAATGTTTGATAATCATGATCATCTTTTAGGTTTAACTAGAACAGAAATTGATAAAAATAACAATAAACGAACTGAATTAAATTGAATGATAACAAGAAACAATCAAATTTGATTGTTAATTTAGATCTGAATGGTTAGTTTTTCTTAATAATACTTTCCCTTACAATTTAATGTTTCCTGATGCAAAAATTATGTTAATCTAATTGTTTTCAGTTGTTTGATTGTTAATCAAATCAAAATTTTTTAGCTTTGACCATCAAATGTCAAGGTGATTTTAATCGTTGCAATATATTAGATAAATTTTACAACAATCAATAGTAAAATTTAGGTTAATATTGATTGATAAGTTTAATTATTAGCATGAATCAATGAATTATAATTTGTTAATTGTAGGAAAAATTTCCATCTTAATTTCATGAATAACATGATAACTATTTAAGGAAATTAACTCAATCAACTCTTAGGGAATTTAAATTTTCAATGTTTACAATTTAATCAACTTTTCCATTGATTGTTGATTAACTCACTTGAGTCAATCTAATTTAAAATTGATTAACATTTCAGAATCTCAGATTATTTGACCAAAGATAAAGTGACCTCTAAACTCAGTTGACCCTCAACGATGATTTAATGTCAAGTAGTTGATTATATTTTGATTAATAATTTAATTGTCAACCTGAACAAATATTATCCATTTTAAATTGTAAGATCAAATTTCCAACTAACATTTGAATGGTAAATAATTTGGATATCATCTTGCCTATTATAGTTAATTGCAGGTGACAATTTAACCTCTAATTGTAACGATGAAATATCAGTAATCAGGAAGCACAATTTAAATGATTACAATCATGATGAAAAATTGAAACTGACACAATGGTAAAAGTGTTACAATTAAGTTAATCCTAATTGAAAGTTGTCAATATTAATTGATTATAATTAATACACAAAATATGTAAATAAAATTATGTATCATCAAGTTTCACCTTTACAATTAAAATTTGATTAGATTTGATTAACTGAAACATGTAAATTTCATCATGTTAATAATTAGTCAAACATCAATATATCTGATTGACACAATAACATTTCCAAACCTAAATTGATGAAAATTAATTGCGATGATTTAACTAAACCATCAACAGAAATCATTTCCTTGATTAACCAACAACCAAATCAATTTTAATTATTCATCAAGTAAACAAAAAACCAAACCATGAATACATAATCAATTGTTATCCAGGAAGGGAAATTAATTATATTAACAATCAATTGTCACCACTCACACTTTTCAATTACAATTAAAACTAATTCAAGGTAACAATTTGATGGCTATTAGATAATAATAGTAAACAAGAAAAAAATGAGAGAAATCAAATCTCAATTGTTGAGCTAAATTGTTAGTTAATCATCGTAACATTGATACACTTTAACTTACCTGTTTAAAGATCATTAATTTAATCACGATAATCATGAACCGGGTAAACCCACATTACGATTTGTACATTGATTGGGAATCAGAAAAGTTCACACAATCAATCAATCAACAATCAATGAACCAATCAAATCTATTAAATGATAATAATTAAAAGGAAAACTATTTCATGGTCAATCGATTTCAAATCGATTCTTATTTAAGTTAACACCTTTTGATTAACCAAACTAATCAACTAATCAACTAACCTCTTAACATTAGATTACGTTGGCGAGACGATTCATTAAGATAAGGAAGCAATTAATTAGAATAATTAAAAAACAACAATTTACTTACCTTATAATTGATGATCAATGAACAAAAAAGCCAATTGATTAAGTAAATCTATTGACAACCCAAAATTGGATTATATTATTATCATCACGAGTTGGTTAATTAACTTGGAATGATTGTTAATTATACTGTTTAATTGTTGTATTATAATACAATTAAAGAACTACGAGTTTAATTACAATTTGAATCGTTTAACGATGATCAAGGTTTCGTTTATTTAATTTTCTTGTAATATTTTTATATTTTAACGTTTTTGATTAAATTGTTAAACAATTTAGAGAGGCTTAAGTTGTAATTGTGGTTTTGTGAACGTGATTATAACTGTAAGGATAATTGTAGTGATTAACTAATGATTAAGGTTGTATTTTCGGGTTAATCTTACTGATAAGGTGTCAAAAGAAGCAAAAATAATAAGATTTATGTTGTCAAACTGAATTAATTAATTGTAAATAGTTAATTAAAAAAAAAGATTCATTTTATGGTGAAAAAATCAGATATTGAAACAAATTGTTACTAATTTACTTTAATTAGTATTAATAATATTTAATGGTGATAATGGTTAACTAAATTAAAATTTTAACAAGTTAATTTACTTTGGATTATCTTGATTGTTGATTTATTTCCGATTATGATTAAATGGATGTTGGTTAATTTGGTGATCAAATTTATAAAGGCGTGAGGAACAATCTAATTTTATCTAATTAGAACACCAATTTAATTTGATTTAGTTATGACTCTAAATAAGTAAATCAAGTTTCTCGCCACGAAAAAGGTAATGAACTGAATTAAATTTGATCATAGCAATTAAAAGATGAATTAACTTTAACAATAGCATTTTAATCACTAGTAAGATCATGATCAATAATTAAATCGTGTTCAATTTGAAAAGCATCACAAATGTAAAGTTAATTGTTTCATTAGCTTATTACAATTTGTTTACATTGTAACACAATTTAGTTGAGTGTTGATTAAAATGGTAACTCTAATTGATTAAATTAATTGTTAGGTTACAATAAATAAATGATATACATGGTAATAGACTTAGAATTGGTTTTAATTGTTATATGACAACCATGTTAATCAGATTTGATTTTTATCTGGAAAACAATTTAATACGAAATGAATTACAACAATCAACAATTTACTCATTCTCATTTCAATCACAGATATCAGGCCAATTTTTGTTTTGATTACTGTTAATCAATTTCAGTTCAAGGTTTACAGTTAATTGCTAATCAAATGGTTAATGTTTATCTACATGTGTGTGTATCTTAATCATCATTACGATTTAACAATTTAATATACTTTCTCCTTTCAGCTTGTCACATTGATAATTTAACTTTTAAATTGTAATCATGTTATTGATGGTTAATAGAGAGAGAGAGAGAGAGAGAGAGAGAGAGAGAAATGAAATTAACGATTAAAACACAACACAGATTAAAATCACAGCTTAAATGTTTGACCTTTGCTTGATTAATTGCCAATTAAATCGTTGATTTAGATGATGGAAAGCTGAGAATCACAATTTACTCTCAACGGTGGTCAATTGGATTATGTAGAGATGGTCAATGTATGTATATTGAATTCGTAGGTGTTATTGTTTACCTAATCTGTTAATTAGCCGATCTGTTCAAACTAATTAGAATCTTTTTAGAAACGGCCAAGTAAATAATTAAGATTAGGAACATTAGTTCAATAATGATTGACAATAAAATCCAAGGAATTAAAATAACATGGAAAAAAGTTTCCGAATTGAAATCTCGCTTTGAAGGATATGATTCCGCATCAGCTGATTGATGAAAGAAAAGATAAAAAAAAACATATCGATTGTAATATTATGAATCAGATCGAAGTCGAAAATGATTGTCAACTCACCTACGAGGATGAAAAGGATCAAGAAGACCTGACTGACCCCAAAAAAGGCAACATTGCAAAGGCCAGTTAGTAAGAGAAGGTAGCGATTTTTCCGCTTCTTATAAGACTCAATTCCTATGGAACCACAGATATGAAATATGGATGCAAATCCCATGATCTGAAGATGAGCCTTGGCCTCATAAAAAATGGACATTAAACCAATGGTAGCGGAAACTAAGGCCAAAATTGCGGCACAATGATTGAGAAAAGCGATCTCCTTGGCGAGTGAATTGGTAACCTTGTTACGCTTAATAACGGTAAACAAAGGATCGTCTTTGAGTAATAAATGATTGGTTACAATGTAATTAACTCTTCGAAAGGCCATTATAATCAATTACAATGTTGGATTAAATTTGTAGAATTTTAAAATTGTTAATTCTAAACTTAATCATCTCTTCCTTACCTGTATCCTTACCTACATTTTGTTTTGTTTTCATCTTCATCTTGGATAATAAATAAATAACATTAATCATCTTAATCAACCAACAACAACATTATTAACCTAGTCTAATAATCACTGACCTTGTGTACATTAAGTGGTTAATTTAAGCCTTGAGCAATTCACGAAAATTGAACGAAAACTTTTAATCATCAACCATCAGCTTCATGATTTAAACTGAATCAATTGATTGTTGGCAATTGGTTTGCAAAAACATACCATTGAAAATGAACAAACAACCGTGAGGTTGGAAAATGTTTTTCATTTTTTTTTTAATTTCTACTTTTTTTTGAAGGTTCTAATTGTTGTTTCATATATTCATACATGATAATCAACAAACAATACGAATGAGAGCTGAAAATAAAGGTGCAAATGATGTTAAATTGTAGGATTGACTTGATAATCAGGGAGTTAATTGTTAAGATTTTGAATGATGAAAGAAACTTTTTGTTGAGTTTGTAAATCGTTAACGATTAACTTAAGGATAAGATTAGTTGATTAACTGACCCTGAGGCTTAGATAACAATTTGAAATTTTTATTGATGAGGAAGTGATAAGTTTTTTGTTATACCCTGAGTGTTACCATGTTAAACTATTGTAACATATTCCGGTCAAAAAGTTGATAATAACTGTTTAATGATTTGAGAGAGATTTGAATTTGATTTTGATTTGAATTGATTGAATGGTAACAAAACAACATGATGATGATTATAAACACACCCGATTGTGTATGTTGTTGATTTAAAGTTGATTAACTGATTGTTTCATTTTAATTTGTTTTGATTTTTGTTTTTGTTTTTGTTTTGTTTTAGTTTTTGGTTATTGGTTAATTAATCTAATGAACTTGACTATTATGTTAGATTATATTATAATATTGATTATAAGCCGAGATTAAATATTATAATAGATGAGAAATGAATGAGAAACTTGGTTGAGCAATTTACAAATTGTGAATTGACATTATTATTATTATTTGGCAGTTTGTTCATAAATTTAGACAATTATCATTATAGTTGTTACAATTAATTGATGGTATTAATTAATTTACCAGAGAGCGGGGGCGGCGAAAGCTGGAGCAGCAACAACCTTGGCGGCTACTGGAGCGTATGAGGCGTGGTTGATTACGCTGGAATAATGAGCACCGGCGACGGGGAGGGCAGCTGGGGCATAAGCGGGGGCATAAGCGGGGGCAGCTGCGACAATCTTAGCTGGAGCTGGTGCATAGTAAGATGGAGCGAAAGCTGGAGCAGCAGCTACAATTGGAGCTGGGGCAGCTGCGACAACTGGAGCAGCAACAGCGACTGGGGCAGCAGCGATGACTCCGGGTGATGAGATGCTGGTGGATGCAGCGGGCTTAGGGGCGGTACCTGGTTCGTTGGTTGAGATGGCGGCACGGAAACCGAGAGCATCAGCGACGTAGTTGACAACTCGTTGTCTTCCATCAACAACACCAAGTGAGTAAGATCCAACAACTTGACCGAGAGCGTTTCCAGATTCACTTCGTGATGAACCACCGGTGGCATGGTTTTCATTGTAAGCGAAAGCGTAGTTTCCAAGACCATCTTGGCTTCGGGTTTGTGATGATGAACCAGTTGAGACAATGGCGGCTGGGGCGGCGATGATTCCAGCTGAGGCAATACCGCAGAGAGCGAGGAAGATGATGACCTAATAATCCACAGATAGAAAATTAATCAGTTGATTGGTTGATTGAATTTCTAGGAATCTAATTGATAAAAAATAAAAAGTCAAGAGAAAAGTAAATGAAAAACTTACCTTCATGATTAGTTAGTTGGTTTGTTGTTTGATTACTTTGATCAAGTGAATAAATGAATTAACTGATTGTGAATGATGATTTAGATTGAGAGGGAATCAGCCTTTTATACCAAAAATTAAAGTGAGATTAAGATGAAAGTGAGAGTAAAAGTTAATTTGAGTGAGAAGAGGAAGATGGATGAGGATGGAGAGAGAGAGAGAGAGAGAGAAAGGGAAAGTGAGAACGAGAGAAAGTGAAAAAAGAAATAAAAAGAAGATGAAAAAGAAAGAGAAAGAAAGAGAAAGATGAAAACCCCACCCTGAATCTGACGGCGCCCGAATATTTTGACTATTGATTCCCACCCTTGATTAAAGATGTTATTTGATTCATTTGAAGGAAACCAACTATGGCCACAAGGTCACTTTAATATCCAATTGGCATTTTTATAAAATAATAACAAATTGATCTTAAATAATAAATACTGACCTTAAATTGGATTAAATCAATAATTATAATCATGTAGGCGATCAAATCTAATCAAAATTAATAAAAAAATCAAAGTATTATCTTAACCCTGTAAATGCTTATTTTCCTCGTCCCAATTGTCGTAACAAACTCCAAAATTGTCCAAACGATTCTCATTGTCAATTAACCCAAATGAGGCAAAAAAAACTTAATCATCAATCGTAAATCAACATTGATTTGTCAATAATCAAAAACCCAATTCGAAACAATTAAAATAAAAATCCTACAGTTTTCCAAACTCATTCAAATCCTCATGACATTAACCACAATTAAGTTACACAATATCAATCATATGGAGTAAAAAAAAACTTTGACGATTTCAAGGTTAAAGTTTAATCTAAAACTTTATCTCAATTAATCCGGATTTTCAATCCCAATGCAATTTAATTTCTGAACCTAATATGTAATTTAAATCCAGTTACATATGTTTCATAATCTAAACATCATTTAGTTGTAATGACAATTTGGTTACCAGTTTAATCTTGATCCTCAAATTTAATTCCTATTGACCTTGTCCGTTCTGAGCCTCCAAACAAATTAAACAAGTTACAAATGCTACCAAACAACAATTTAAATGATTAACAATATAAATGATTATCCAATTTTTCTTATGTATATTAAATCACTTTTTCACTTAATCATGAACTGGTTTTCCACTAATCAACTTCGTTCTCAAAAGAAAAAGAGAAAAAGTCAAATTGATTTTGAGAAGAAAAGAAAAGTCGAATTGATTGATTAATCGAAATTGCGAAAAGAAAATTATATCTTGTTAATTTTTCTCTTGTTTAAGTTAATTTCTATTAATTTACCTTGTAAGATAATGGAGATGATGACGATGATGATGAGAGAGAAAAATCTCCCAGGATTAATCTCGATTTTTCTCTGGTAATATTTCGTCATGAGCTTAACTTATTTTCTATTAAATTTTCGCCGTTCAATTCGTTGCCTTAAGAGAATCATTTCCTTTGACCTTCCCTCAGGGATGGGAGTTGTCTCTTTCTTTTTCATCATTATCATTATCATCATCTTGTCCCAAGAATGTTTCAAAAGAGATGATGATAATAGTGAGAGAGAAAGAAAGAGAGAGAATTAAAAATCCCGACTGAATAAACGATCCAGTTTTCTTTTCATCTTTTCTTACCTTCAATCATTTGCATCTTTTTTTTATCTTCTAATTTCATCTTAATTTCCTACCTCTCTCACTCTCTCTTTCATCCCATCATGTTTATCTTTCTTTTCCATTTTCCTCCTTCTATTTCATCATCATTGTCATACTTCATCTTATTCGTTTGTTTTCATTTTCATTCACACTTCGAATGGTTTTCTTACATGTTCATTCAAAGTTCCATCATTTTATTGGAAACTCTTCGGTTCTCTTGGATTGATTGAAGAAAAGAAAACTATGCGATAAACATTCATTTCTTTATTCACAAATGGAAATAAAATTTTTTGTTAATTTCGATCAATTTATTGTTTTTTATTCGAATTCTCGATGATTTTTAGAGGAAACATTTCGTTTTTCGAAAAAACCGCCACCGAATTTCGTAGTCATGGTTACCATTGTTTAGCGTTTTTAGGCCTTCGGTTGATTAGAGTTTAGGCTAATTCTCTGAATGGACCATTAATTGTTTCGGATTTCGTTTAATTGTGAACTTTGTCATCTCATTTTCTTTAATTAAAATTGTCTCTTATTCATTCATCTTGGTTAATTATGGAAGAACATACTGAAACTGTAAGTAAATTCAATATTGTCGATGATAGTTAACAGCTACCGGTGTTTAGATGAAGGCGTTTATCTCATTGTTATTTCCACTTTCATGTTTAGTTGAATGTTGTTTTGCTTTTCTCTTTGCTTTTTTCTCTCATCTACCTTTATTTTCTTTGCTCCCTCATGTTCTTTACTTGTGACTACTTGTTGTATGTTCTCTGTTTCCAATTGATTTAAATTCTGAATTTCTGTGTCTTTTTTTTCATCTTTCAATTTTATAGACTAATCCCAATAATGTTGAAGAACCATTAGATCTGATTCGATTGAGTTTGGATGAAAGGATTTACGTTAAGATGCGACATGGTCGTGAATTGAGAGGTCTTCTTCATGCTTATGATCAACATTTAAACATTGTTCTTGGTGACGTGGAGGAAATTATTACCAATGTTGAGATTGATGAAGAAACATATGAAGAAGTATACAAAATAACCAAACGCAATGTTCCCATGCTTTTTGTCCGAGGTGATGGTGTCATCCTGGTTTCCCCACCCATTCGTGCGGGCAATTAATTTCCATTAATATCCTTATCATTTTCCATAAATTTCTTTAAAACCTTTTCCTTTATTACTCTATTCTCTCTAAATAGTCAATCCCTATCTTCCCCTTTATCCCTTGTATACTCTCTTCCATTTAACCCAAAAATCACCTTATCACTTAATTCACAGTGTCAAGTTACACTTATCTCAGCAAACAAACTAATTTACATGTATCAATTTACATACCCTTAAAAGTGAAGTGAATTAGTACATAAACTTTATCAAAGAAAAAAACAAACAACCAAGACTCTAACAAAATGAACTCAACATTAAATGAGCCTCTCGAAGCTTTTAAAGCTGATCAACTTTTATCATCGCTACTATCAGAGTCCAAATCCTCTTCTACCCCTTCACTGTCGATTGATGATCTTCTTACTCAACTAAGTCCCCGAGAGACGGTTCAAAAGCTTGAACAAGCTCGAATGTTAATTGAAGGTGATCTTCAAAATTTGATTTCCAGTGATTTTGATCAACTTCTCAACGAGACCAACAAGGTAGAAATCTTGGAAAATCATTTATCTGTAATCCAAGGAAAGATTGAAACACTCACATGCACTTTGGACAAATTACGAACTCGTCTCATCGAACCTTACAATAGGTTGCCCATCGAATTGCTCTTCTTAATCGCCTGCATGCGACCTGTGATCTTCTCCGTCGTATTGTCCGTTTCATGCAACTTTCCGTCGTCTCAAGCAAACTGATTTCAAGGAAGCCGATCAACCAACAATCAACCGTGAAGTGATTAAAGCAGCACAATTTGTCCACGAGTTGAACAGCCTAATCTCTCAAGATGATAGTCTCCTTCGTATCGATATTATCAAGGGCGATTTAATCCAATTGGGCGATAAGCAAAACGATATCCTTGAAATAGCCAATACTTGTTTCGCTAATGGTTTCTCAAAATCGGACTCTGTTTCTGTTGGTGTTGCTCTTCATGTTTATTACTTTTTTAATATTCTCGATGAGAAAATAGATCTATTTTTACAATCGAAAGAGCAAAAGATAATCTCAACCATTCGTGATGTGTTTGACATGTCCACTTACAATCAAACCCGTTCAACTGGTCCAGGAAGTGCCATTGTCCCAATGACTTTGGCTCAATCAGCAAATTACAAGACTAAATTGTGGGATAACATTGAAAATCTGATGGAACAGATTTTCATTGCCTCTCTCAGGCTGATTTACTTTTCAAAATATTAAAAAAGAAACGAGATCCACTTAATCAATCAAGTCTTCTCGAAAGTACCTCAAAGCCAAATGGATTGATTGAATTCATCACTCGGATCAACAATCTACTCTCTCAGGCCATGATTAAAGCGAATGTCTCATCAAATATAATCAAGGAAGTTCTTGAAGGTGAATATCCGAGAATCCTTCGTTTATTTACCGAAGTTTGAAGAGATTATCTCGAGATGATAAAGATATCAATCTTGAGACTATGATGAGATCAATTTTACACCCGTTCGAAAGTGCTTACCTTTCGAGGTCACTTTCATTGCTTTTCGATGCCGTCAACATAATTTTCACCGACACAAAGGAAAACTCGTCGTCATCAGGCTCGTTGATCAGTATTCGTGAAATTGTATTACCAACTAAGGACGATATCGATTCACTTATTAAAACTCTTGTTTCCGAAATGAATGTTGCTAATTTAGATCCAGAATTAAGTCAATCAGTGGCCAAAAATATTGGTAAATCAGTGCAAATGTTTCTAGTTAAGTGTGAAAAGTTAATTTGTGTTGAAGGAGATGCCACTCAAGTAATTGGACCAGCGACTAAATCACAACAATGTAATGCAACAATCGTTCATCGACTTGAATCATTTAGAAATCAAATGGAAACCTTATTATCTTCGTGTGAATCAAGTGATGAATCAATACAAATTGTCCGTAATTATTTAAACAATTTAGATTCATTAATAATCAATACACTTGATCCACTTATGAATTCCGCTCAAGATTCAATCGAAGCCATTATACTGACCATTCACAATGAAGATTTTTCCAAGTAAATATAATTTAAATGGCCCATCATCATAATCCTAATTCTTAACTGATTATACTAATTTTCTCTTTTTTTTTTAATTGCAGTTCTCTCAATGGTCCCCCTCAATGTTCACTTTATATGCGAGAACTTCAAGGATTCATCACGAGAGTAAATGCTGATTACTTTTCACTTTTCCCTGACACTCCGGTCGTTCGGAACAGGTAATTGTCTCTTCTTATATTTTGATGGAATATTTTTCCCACTTTTTAAATTTCTATTCATATTTTTTCACCAGAATTCTAAAAGTTGCCGTTCGAACCATCGATTTATTCCTTCGCCATGCAACCTTAATCCGACCCTTAACTCAGAATGTCAAAATGAGATTAGCTGTTGATTTCGCTCAATTAGAAGAGGCTTTATCTACATTCCATCAGTTAATCGGTGATCTTGGTAAACACTATCGTATCCTTCGGGCATTTAAATCATTACTTTTCCATGAACCTTCAGCGATAATTAAATCTCAAGCTATTGGCAAACTTATTCCCTATTCAATTGTGATCCAATTTTTGATATCAACCCAAGGGCCATCAGAGATGAAATCTGCTCATGAAAATCGTGGCTGGTCCATAACAAGATATTCTGCTTGGATGGATGAACATCGTGATGAAGAGCAACGTCTTTTACTCTTCAAGTAAGATTTTCTCCATTAAAAGCTAATTTAGAATTCAATTAAAGTCAATTATATCTAAAATATCATTTTTCTTTATTCTTTACAGAGAATCCTTGGAATCCTATGAATCTGAAATAAGGCGGAAAAAGTAACAAAATCTTTTCCGAAGTTTATACAATAATATTGGAAATGTTACAAACAGCATTGGTTAAAAAATGATTGAATTGATCGATTAAATTGATAACTTAAATAATATTAAATTAACTATCCAGCATTCACAATTGTCTCACCATCTACTTCCTCATCTTCAGTATCAGAGTTAATAGTAGCCCAAGGTAAAGGTTCAGCGGTAGCAAAGACGAGGAAAATTATTAATGCAATAATCTGAAGACCAGATATTATGTGAAATGTTAAAAACCATTTACTTTCTGATTTAATCTGAAAACAAAAGAAAAGTATTAATGACAAACTGATATCAATTAAACTAAATGAATTTACATCGTCACCAATAATAAAACCAATCAGTGCTGGTGCAATGAAACCCGAAGCGCATCTCATTGTATTAGCAAATCCGAACGCAGTACCAACCAAATTAGGAGCCATTTCTGGTACCATAGGAGCATCACCACCAGAATCAAATCCATAGAAAAACATTGTAACAATTAGAGTGATAACTGCAAGTGTTGGTTTGTCACCCAAATAAGTGATCAACGTTAAGCCGATAACTAATCCAAGTAAAACTAACAAATGAAATCAATTGATTAGCAGATTAAATGATGGACGTTTCTCTGTTTATTTTCTTACTAAAAGATTCGAAAATTTTTCTGGTCAAAGTTCTTGGTAACCATTTTTTGAGAATAATTAATTTAGCCAATGGTCCAGTAATCAATTGTGCAAGAGCAATGACCACATAGAACGATGAATTGATTAATCCATTGTTAGTGATATCATAATGAAGTATTTGCTCAAGATAAACTGGAATTTTAGTGTTAATTGTATAATAAGCTAATCCACTTAATCCTCGAACCCAAAAAATGGACCATAGAGGTAGAGAAGTGAACAATGAAATCCATGGGGTTTTAAGCTAATAGAAAATGATACAAACATCAAGCTAAATTGTTTTAAATTGACGAAATTCATTTGAGGTGTAATCCAATCTAAAAGTTTGTCTGATAATTATTATCATGAATGTTAATTATTTCTATGTAGTTGATTGGAGTGTAACTGTGAATTTTAGATTGATTAATTTAATACCTTTTTCGTCGTCACTTTGTTTACAACTACTTTGGAAAGATATGATTTTTCCCATTTGCTTGTTAAACGACTTGATTGTGGATCATTTGACATGGTCAAGTAAAAAATGACCGCATAACCTAAATTGACAATTCCAATGATGATAAATGCAGAGGGCCAACCACCCCAAAGGTTAGATTGACACAACCAGGCAGTTAATGTTAAGGTAATTGCTGTACCAGAATTACAGCCAACTGCAATTAAACTTTGAACTAACGATATTTCACCGGGCGGGAACCAGTGCTCGGCTAGATTGAAGCACGAAGGTAACATGACACCATGAGCCAAACCAGTCAAAGCTCTGACGGCAATTAAACAATAGATACTAATTGAAGCAGCAATCGGACTTGCAAGAGTACAAATTGCTGCAAATGCTTGTGTTAAACTCATTAGAATGACGATATTTGACTTATCCGTTATAACGCCACCAATAAGTTGCGAGGCAGTGAAGGTATAAAAGTACCCACCGAGGACCAAAGCTTGATCATATTGATTCCAGTTGAATGTTTGAGACTAAAGTAATAAAAAGAGCTCGAATCTTTCAACACATTTTAGGTACAGTCGCTTACTTACTTGCTCGAATTGACCAGAGGATCTAAATTTGCCCAGCCAATGTCTCGCGACCAATGAATCCGACGTTTCGTTTGAATTATCAACCATTGCAAGAATGGCGACATTTATAACTGATTTAACTGAATACCCAATCATTGTGCATGAGAAAATCATGAACATGACAAAGTACCTGAAAGGAATACATGGTTTAGGCAATGATGTCGGTGGTAAATCAATGACAATCGATTCGTCGATCGATGATGATCGCTTTCGAATCATAATAAAGGACACTAAACGATTGACACACTAAATTTGATCCATCAACTTATCAACTTGGAGATATTTTTTATCGATCACATAATTAAAACTCTTAGAATTGAAAAAAGAGCAAATGAAATCAACTAATATTACAACCGAAAGCTTTTCCATATGATCATATTAAGGGTGTTTCTCTTGTACAGCAGAATGATGAGAGTTTTGGCTGATCAAATTCCGATGATAAATGATTAGAATTGTTAATCTTTATTATGCCAATTAAAGTAAATATTTAATCAACTTTCATATGATCATTCAGCTTCCGATTGTAAAGAGATAAATGATAAATTGTAAAGGTGAAAGTTAAATCTGATTGAACTTTTTTTTATGGAATAATAATTTACGAGTAGTTAAGATCGATACTAATTGACTTTTTTTGGTGATCAAGAATATGGAAGATTTTGTAATTGTTTGGTCATTTAAGT